TATATATATATAAATTGTTGCACAAGCTTGAAGCTTATGGAGTTTATTGATCCGTTACTGTAGGTCAAAAGTGAGACAGCTCACAGTCTATAATATAATACAGAGGTTTCCAACCTTTTATGTCAGTTACCAAGTTATTGAACCAAGTTATTTACTTGAAGGTTAGGGCTTTACACTATAAGAATTTACATAATTTAAATTTTAGTGAAACCCTTTTTGGGAAACCCAGATATTATAAATCTATCTGACACAAACTACACTAGATAGCATGCATGCTCTTCCTTGAATAAGACTAGTATGGTCACCAGAATATGTTGTACTTTGGATCCACAGGATCCTGATATAAGAACCAGGCTTCTTAATTGGCTTAACCAGCTAACCTTGGTCAACCAGTTTCATCAGAAAAATCAAACTATTTGACCAGAATTTTGCCAGTTAGACCAGTACCAAACTAGCAATGACCTGAACAGACATGCTAGGATCTCCATGAAAATCTATGCTTGTTTATGCTTGTTGTTTAGCCTGGTCCTAAATGCTTCATAAAGCATAAAACACATGCACTGAGAAACCATAGACTGTGCAGGTTGAGGGACTGTCATGATAACATCAGAGTCACCTTGAGTTACCATAAACCATACCGGAGATGAACGTCAGACGCAGCATGAAAGCGCTGATCTTTGCACAAGCAAACAAACAGACTCAGCTGTTCAGCTGTAAGTCCAGCAGCGCTCAGATACTTCACCCACTAAACCCTCATAACCTAAACCGCTCCAATTCGCCTTCATAGTAATTTTAAGATAACCAACAAAATGTGTTTGCACCAGCACAGTAAGCGTCGAAGTTATCTGAATGTTTTTTTTTTTTTATTCGCTTACAGGAGTTGATCATAAAGTGCCCTTTCTGATGGACTTCTAAGCTTCGGTAAGTTTTATATAAACTGTGGTTTTATATGCACGGACAGCTCCCACACATCATGAAGCCTGCCTGGCGTCCAGCAATCCATATGCAATAAAAAGGGATAAATATGAGGGTCGGGCCAGAAAAGGGTTGATGGACGATTATTGCATTTTTCTCACCAAACACGCAGCGGAAGAGATTAATGCATTAGCCAGCAGATCCGAGGGACAAGAACCAACTCAACAGTCTGCATCCAAGACGCTCCTGAGGACATAAATCATAATCATCATGTTTTTTTGTTCTCAAAGATTTACAACTGACTGGTTCTTAATGCTACACGCAGAGAGGAAGACACAAGGGGTGATTTTGGCCACACTGCTGCAGGTATTGATTTCAAGACTGCCATTGTTAAGCTACAAATCACACAAACACTAGCAAATAACCAGGCCCAAAAACCTGCACACTTTCTTTGCTTACCGGAGGGGTGGGGGGTGCAGATGGTAAATGATTTAATGTAAATGTGGTAAATTGTTTTAAATATGGATATAAACGGCTTAGGGTACTACACTCTTATTGGCAGCTGAAAGCATAATCAAATTTGCCAAAATATTAAATTAATGAACACACAAGGGAGGATGTGTAGAACTGAGAATACTGTGAGTTCAGATTTTGCAGAAATCTGGCAAATTGTCTACAGTCTGAGAGTTCAGAGTTCACATGCACATCTTACAATAATTATGATTAATAATCTGACAATGTGTAAGGTCATGGAAACACATTAAACAGTGTTGTTTTGATCAGTTGAAGGTCAGAACTGTTTAAGGATTGTACACCTGGATTTCTGCCCAGTTTTCCAAATTCACTTTGCTTATAAACTCCTTTAGAAGAATTCTGACATTTTTTCAATGCATGAATGCATGTTAACATTTTAATATGAAAACGTATTTTAAAATCTCATGTAAACGTGTTTTCTTTCATTATCAGGTTTTTAGAATAAGCCGATTTGGATAGTTATCAGCACACTGTTGTGCATGTAAACATAGCCAATGTAATATTTACTGTAAATGAGAACACTATAATCATCACAAACACAACTACTAAAAACAATTAAACTATTTTTTTTTCAAAAATCTGACTTCATGATGTCATAACTATTATGTAAAAATTATGTAACAATGTTACAAACATTCTGAATGCACTTCTTTCCCCTCCAAGTAAAAAGTTTAGTTCAGTAATCAGAAGTATCTATACACATAAAAAATGTATTCAAACAAGGATCACAAAACTACAACACTATAAATGAAAAGCTATTAACCCTAATCCACAAACAGCAAGATCATGGGTTTAAACATTGCCCTGTTTCGTTTTAATCATTATATAAAAAAATCAAAGCATACTTTCCATCTATGTTTGTTGAATTCATTGCTTTAAGCTGATCACTAAATACAGAAACAATGAAACAATAATAATCCTAAATGTGGTTAGGGAGTAGATTAGGGAATATTTCATGCAGTGTGAGGCAGAAAAAGTTATCAATGAGAAATGTTTAGAAAAGAATCAAGGTGAAACTAATCCAATTCCATAAGAGCAGCAGTCCTCTCTGGGATCAATATGAGAGAGTGAATATGGATCACCATTGACCACTGCAGGCCCGGTAGCCTCATGCTTCTGTAATGTTACCTTTGATTATAAATAAAGCAGATGGGTTCACAAAGCACCTCATGTAAGCACTAGCCCTGTCCTGCGAGAGACACAATCGTCTCGTCTGTATTTTGCATCTCACCGCTCCAAAGACTGGCCCATCTCTCATCTGAGCTCAGAGAATCTTATCAGAAGATGCAGGCCGGAGCTTATCTGTGAACAGTCTGAATTTGCTTTTGTTTTGTCTTCTGGTCTCCTTCCCCACGCCTGCCGTGTGATTTCCCTGCTGTTGCATCCCCTGTTGCCACTGCATGA